AAAAAATTTTTTTTAAATAAACCCTTGGATTCTAGACACAGAGGCTTACCTGACTCCTCTCCTTGTCCACTTTCTTAAAACACTTATTCAATGACAAATTGTGTCTCACTGAGTTTTTCCACCCAGTAGGTGCATTTGCAAAATACGGAAAATGTTCCAAGATCCAGTTGTAGATATCCTTCACCGGCAGGCGCTTGGTTGGAGAGTCCTCGATGGCCATAAATATGAGGCAGCTGAAGGAGTAGGGGGGTTTGCAGTTAGGGTTCTGCCTGGCATCGTAGGGCATGTCAGAGTGGGCGGGGGACGGGGGGGTGTCGTCGTCCAGGTCCTGGACGGGGCTGACACTCCTGAGGACCGACTCCCCAAAGCTCTTCAACAAGTTCTTGCTCTCATGCAGCCAGTTCAGGTTGGTCAGCTCTTCATCTTCCATGGCCCCCTCTTCTAATCGGATGTCAGGCAGAGAAAAGTCGAGGTCATCGTCTTCTTGAAGGGCCTTGGAGAAACCGCTGCCCCGGTAACACTGACTCAGTCCACTGGAGACACTAATTCCTGAGCTTTCTGGCTTCTTACTGGGAGGCATGACTGGACCCATTTATGTGAAGGCTCCTAGTAAAGACATCACAAAGAAATGATGAGCTGGCGAAGCCCAAAACAGAGAGGGAGACCGTGCCCCTCTGATGCTGTCGCCACCCCCTGCCGCCTCTACAAAACCCCCGCTACACAGGAACACTACCTTGTGACTTCCACACTGAGCAACACAACCCCACAATTCCACCAAGAGAGAAACGCTGATGAGAAAAACCAGCCCACCATTCACCTGGCAAGATGGCCTGATGCCCCTTAAATAAGACAAGACTGATAACATGGCCAAGCACAGTGGCTCACGCCTGTAATCCCAGCACTTTGGGAGGCCGAAGCAGGAGACTGCTTGAGACAGGAGACCACCTTTAAGCTACATTAAATTTCATTGCAATTTTTTTTTCTTCCAGAACGGAAGAAAAGCAAGTAACTTCAGGCACCACACCAATATATGGGAACATAAGACAGGCCATTAACTGAAATTAGAACTGGTGAAAAAAGTCAGGAGAGCAACTGGCAGTTTCAAGACAGGAAGACGAATTCAACAAAACATGCCACAGAATCCTATCCCTCTACCCCTACCCGCCACCATCCCCATTTTTATCAGTGACCTAGAACATGGAGTAAAATAACATCTGATGAGAAAAGAAAACGGGGAGGTGGTACATTTACAAATAGAATGACCCCTCCAAACACAAAGCATGTTCAACCCTCCAGCACCCAATGTAACACAGAAAGAACAGTAGATAACCAAAAAGGTCTCTGTAGCGCTAAAACAATATGCTCGGTTTAACAGTGTTAGGTTTTAATTCCTCCCACAAACAACCAGTAAGAAAATCAAGCACCTTCTTAGAAAACGAATGAACCGTCTAGTCATGATGGCTCATGCCTATAATCTCAGCACTTTGGGAGGTCAGAGGCGGAAGGATCACTTGAGTCCAGGAGATTGAGACCAGGCTGAGCAACATGGCAAAACCCCAACTCTACTAAAAATACAAAAATTAGCTGGGTAGGGTGGCATGTGCCTGTGGTCCCAGCTACTTGGGAGGCTGGGGGAGAGAACTGCTTGAACCCAGTTAAGTTGAGGCTGCAGTGAGCTGTGACTGCACCACTGCATTACAGCCTGAGTGACAGAGTGAGACCCTGTCTCAAACTTTTTAAAAAGAAAGAAAGAAAATGAACATATTTAAAAGCAGAGACACAGGCCAGGAATGGTAGCTCACGCCTGTAATCCCACCACTTTGGGAGGCCGGGGCAGGAGGATCCCTTGAGCTCAGAAGTTCGAGACCAGCCTGGGCTACATGGTGAAACACCATCTCTACCAAAAAAATCCAAAAATTCACTGGGTGTGGTGGTGTGTGCCTGTAGTCCCAGCTACTTAGGAGGCTGAGGTGGGAGGATCACTTGAGCCCAGGACGTTGACGCTCACTGCACTACAGCCCAGGCAACAGAGCAAGACCCTGTCTCAAAAAAATAAATAAAATAAAAAAGGCAAAGACATGACCTTTCTATGTCTCTTAAATGTCCATTAACACCACATCTAAAACAACTGCCACTTCAGCTGGGGAAGCTCTATTAGGGAATTCTAGAAGGCATAATCCTGGGCACTAACCAACCAGCCAAGGGTGCCTGTGAATTATGGCACCTTCCCTCTTCCAACAGGTAGAACCTGCTAGATGCAAGGACTAAGGGGGAGTTGCTGTGAGATGCCCAACTCTTAAAGAGAGAAAACGTCATGAGGCATCGTAGTACAGACCAGGCAGGATGCTCCAGATGCCTCGGGTTCACTCACAGCGAGTATTTCCATCTGTCAAATAAGGCGATTACTCTGACACATTTCAGAGAAAAAACAAGCTAGGATCTTTAGGCTTGAGGATACAGCAGAGTCTGGTCCCATCCTGCTTTCAACTTCTTTATGAATGAAATAAAGCATCACTTGTTTTTCTTCGAGTTTCCTCAGATCCCAACAGAAAATTTTCTGATGACCAAAATATGCACACAGCAGAGTATAAAAGAGAACTACCCAGCTACTAAAGTCAACTTTAGCTCCAAATGAAAGTTTTATGTCTCCTGAGCTTCCAAACAGGAAAATTATATCATGGCTGACAGTAAAGTAATTTAATTGCACTGTTGCTATGACAACATGCTGCTCTCTTTCTTTTTAATTTGCTTATTTGTCAGTAGCTTCCCAGAGGAACTAACACGCTATTCTCCATGTTTCCTTTTGTTTTAAGCAAACACTGCCAGCAATATGGTTTTAGAAGAAAAAAATGGCATTGTCAAGAAGAGAGGGTTATGGGAGTTCAGCACCCTTAGATCGAGTGTGTACTTTGTGCTGGGTCCCCGTGCCCTCCAACTGCTCACTGCATCCCTATAAATCCCGCATTTTATAGCAACAGTGTGAAGAGCTGCTGATCACTACAGTTTCATGTTAAAAAAAATAAAACCAGAAACAAAAAAAAAAACAGTTCCCAGAAACCACAGCTGAGGAGTTTTCCATTATTATACTCTAACTACAGAATTCGCCAAATCTTTTTTTCCTCCTGTTTTAGAGGGGGAAAAAAAAAATCTGGATCATGTGAGTTGCAGTTAAGCAAACATTTTTAATCTGCTGCCAACAAGGCTGCTCCACCAGATACGCAAATAGTTATTCACTGGTGACCTCCTTACAACTTTTCTCTACACACACACACTCTCCCTCTTTTGTTTTTTTTGTGACTTGCTGTGTTTTGTTACCCTTTTTATTTTTTTAAAGGAGAAAATACGGCAGGAAAGCTTAGTTTCTCGCCTAGTAATCAGGTCTCCAAATAACTGACAAAGCCATTACTGGTCCAGCTCTGAACAGACGTTCTATGCGAACTTTTAAAAGTTAAGAAATCCTCGCAGAGCGGAGCAGTGCAGTCGCGAGTTTGGGGGGCCGGGTCACCCCCCCCACTCCCGGCACGCACGCGCGCGCGCGCGCGCACGCGCTTCACTCTCGTCTACTGTACTTGTCAAAAACATTTCAAGGGGACCTGCGGGAGCGGCGATTGGCTGCGCCCCGCGTCAATCAGCGGCGTTGCCGGGCAACAGGGGAAACTGCTCTTCTCCGCGTATACAGGGCAATTGGGAGCTCGCATACCTTCACTGCCGGTCAGATGTCATAAACCTTTTATTGGCCGCACCGCGGCGAGCCTCGAAAACAAATCAATAAAAGCCCGCCGTCCCCCAACTTATCCACGGCCCAAGGAGGGTTTCCAAGAGGGCCGGGATGAGGAGGGTCGGGCTTCGGGGGTCTCCGGAGACGTTCGTTGCCTGTGCCAAGTCTGCACAGTTTGGGGGGGGGAATCTTTGTTAGGAGCCTGTTTCTCATCTTGGGGTCTCCTCTTGATCGGCACCCTCTCCCCGGCCCGGAACGGCGGGGACCCCGTCCTTTGCAGACAATACCAACTCTGTTCCTTGCGGGCGTCTTTTCGGAAACCGAGGCACCGGGAAGCAGCACGCACGTCGAGGCAGGAAACTCTTCCGACCCGGCAACTTCCCGGCTCGGGGGCTCCCGGGACCCCCACCCAGCCCTCCCCTCAGAACCTGCGGGGTCCGTCGTCTTCCAAGAGCCGCGAGGTAGTCTCCAGCACCGTCTCGGACGCGCCCTCCGCCGCGGGTCCCCCAGAGCCCACGCGGCAGCCGGCGGGAGCGGGGCGCAAACTCACCTGGCCGGAGCGGGGCGCGGGGGCGCGGGGGCGCCGCTGCCCTTCAGCGGGAGCCGACAAACTTTCGCGGGAGCCCGGCGGGCATCGCTCGGTGGCCCCGCTAAGGACGCGCGGGCGCGGCGCGGCGAGCCCGGGGCGGCGGGCGGCGGGGGGCGGCCGCGGGCACGGGCGGCAGGGGCGCGGGGGTCGCGGCGCGGCATGGGACCTGCGGCGTCCGCCGGGCGCGCGGCGCGTCCTCCCGCCGGCCCCGCCGCTCTCCCCGCCCCGTCCCGCCTCCCGCTCGCCTCCGCCGCGGCGCGTCGGGCCGGGGCGCGCCGAGCGGCGAGAAATTGTTTCCACTGCAAACAAAAAAAGGCGACACATGACCAGGCAGGAGGAGGGGAAGCGCGGGGAGGGAGGAGGGCGGAGGGAGGGACGGAGCGAAGGGCGGAGGGAGCCGGAGAGAGGGAAAACGTGGGCCTGGCCGCCAGAGGCCTGGGGCGCGGGGCACGGACCCGCCGGGGCGGCCCCTGCCCGAGCCCCCCGAGCCCCCTGGGCGCAGCCAGGACCGAGCCGCGCGGCCTCGCCTCCTGGGCCCCGCGGGGCGGTGGTGACCGGCGCGGGTCCCGCGACCCAGGGCGGCCGCGACCGTGGGCGGCGGGGCAGGTGGGGCGGGCGGCGCGTGCCCTCTCCCCTCCCTGGGCTCCGGCCACACGGGCGGGCCGGCGCTGCGCTGCTGGCAACGTGTCGCGGGAACGCTCCTACCCCATCTGCATGCCTTACATGGCTCGAAAGTAAAAATAAAGAGAATTACGATGCGGGCGAGGCTTGTGGGGGTGAGAAGAGGAGATTCCACTTCTCCCCAGTGCTGCGTCCTGGTAGGACCCCCAGGGCCTTCAGAGTCCTCTCCCAGCGCCCACCTCGTGCCCCGGAGGTAGGCACCGCGGAGTCCCACCCAGGTGGCCGCGTGTCTCCCGAGGGAGGGCGGGTGGCCATTACAGGGCAAGAGGCACGTCCTAAAGGCCACGCCGGTGGGGCCTCTCCAGTGGGTTGTGCGGAACGCCCCGGCCGGCCTAGAGCGAAAACAGGTCTCATTTCCATCTCATTTGAGCTCTCAGGAACCAGACTGACAATTCGCAAGCCACCCAGCGAAATGGTGCAGCCACCACTCTAAGCCTCTAGGCAGCTCCAAAGAATAGCACCCACTGCTAAAGCCACACCAACCAGCCGCCTTGGGAGAGGATGAGAGGAAGAGTCCAACAGGACACCCTGGTGGTGACAAAAATAAAAATGTGACTGCACATCTCTCCCAGGTAGCCAAATTGGTTGTTTCCTCTACAGAGGAAAAGCCCAGGGCACCCTTCCTGCCACCCACCCCTGAGCCGGTGGACAGGACATTGTGAGCTATCTGAAAACTGCAGAAAAACCAGCCAGTGGACCTGGAGTGAAAGCTGTCTAGCATGCAGTACTTTTAAACCTAGCCAAAAGGAGGGGCGAAGGGAAACAACAGCTAGGCTTCTGAAAATTTTTTCTATCTCAAAAAATAAGCCCCTCCATCTGAGATTCATTCCCCCTACCAAAGGTTCAAGATGGCAGGTGGCAGGTCCTCAGCAAGGATGCGCCTTTTCGACTCACCAGAGACCTTACTACTTCCAAGTATTGTGGCGTCTTTCCATAAAGAGATAGGTGGGTGGTGGACGCCCGGGGATGGCCTGAGGTCATCCAGCCCCACCCCTTTGATTACTGAGCACTTGATGTGACCTACCCAAAGTCACTAAGCAAAAGGCACTGGATGGCAGAGACAAGTCAGATGATCTCTGAAGTTTCTCGCCAGGGATCCTCACTCCGGGTTAGAAGTGGTAACAAAGCCAGGATGAAACAATGTGTACCCTGCTCTCCTGAGGTCTGGCTAATGCAGGTCCCACCGTCCATCAGGCATCAGTTGAGGGTGCTTATTCTCCACCAGAGGAACCAAGGCCAGAGAACTTTGTCCATGCCCTTGCTGGCCTGGAGAGAACGAAATCGCCCCCTTACATCTTTCCCTTCCATCCCCAGCTGCCAACACCGCCCCCTGCCCCCACCATCCCCTAACTACACTCAAACAATAGCCAGAAATCTCTTTATATTAAGTAGAGGTGGCACCTTATTTTTCACCCGCCCCAGTCCCCTCCTGCTTTCTCAGAGTTCAAAAAGAGGGGATGTGCCCATGGAATATATCTTTTTTTTTTTTAAGAGACAGGGTCTTGCTGGGTTGCCCAGGCTGGAGTGCAGTGGTGATTCACAGGCGCAATCCCACTACTGATTGATCAGCATGGGAGTTTTGACCTGCTCCGTTTCCAACCTGGGCCGGGTCACCCCTCCTTAGGCAACCTGGTGGTCCCCTGTTCCCAGGAGGTCACCATATTGATGCGGAACTTAGTGCAGACACCCGATCAACATAGCGCACTACAGCCCAGAACTCCTGAGCTCAAGCGATCCTCCCACCTCAGCCTTCTGAGTAGCTGGGACTACAGGCATGCGCCACCAAGCCTGGCTTTTTTTTTTTTTTTTAAAGACAGAGTTTCACTCTGTCACCCAGGCTGGAGTACAGTGGAGCATTCTCAGCTCACTGCAACCTCCACGTCCGAGATTGAAGCACTTCTCCTGCCTCAGCCTCCCAAGTAGCTGGTATTACAGGTGAGCACCACCACACCTGGCTAATTTTTGTGTTTTTAGTAGAGACGGGGTTTCACCATGTTGGCCAGGCTGGTCTCGAACTTCTGACCTCAGGTGATCTGCCCACCTCGGCTTCCCAAAGTGCTGGGATTACAGGCGTGAGCCACTGCGCCAGGCCAGAGTATATCATTCTTAAATCTCTTCGCCTCCAGTGTCTGAACCAGTCATCTCAGGTGAACAAAAATGAAAAGACATGAGCTTTGGCCAGAAGAAGCCATAAGCAGACGGTGGAGCAGATGAAATAGCCTACTTTAATTGTCTTGCCTCTCTTTCCCTCTGTGTGTTTTTGCTTCTTGCATTCTCAAACATTTTTCTTAATTTATCTCTCCCATTACAGTTGCAGCAAGAGATGTGAGAAGGTGTCACCCCGAAGAGGAAGTGGTAGACCAGCCCTGCTTGATGTGGACAGCAGGGGACACATGTCTGCCTGTCTGTCTGAAATGTGGGATCCAGACCTTTACTGAAAGCCAAAGCAGGGCTTCTTGTGGTCTTTTCCACCTTCTAAATCCATAGAACCTCAGCTATGGGGCATGCTTCCTGACCTAGGGTTCAGGGACCAAATTCATTTAGGAACAACCCCATTCGCAATTCCCTCACGAACTTTCAGAAAGGACCCTTGTGTCTTAGATCCTGAGAAGTCACAAGTAAACAAGCGGAATTGTCTAAACCATTATCTTATCTACACTTTTACAAACACATTTAACAGCAGAATCCTATATGTGCCCTAGAAATCGCTTTGAGAAACACTTATTTCCTTATTGGGGACTAATGGGACCATTCTGCAGCCCCATCTGGGCATGGGCTGGAGAGCACATTAAGTATCTGGGAGCTGGAAGACCTCAATTCTAGGCTTATACCCCCGTCAGCGTGGGACCTCAGTTCCTCCTCCAAGGAGAATGCTCCTCCCTTGATGTTTTGTACATTTTTTTTGCTAAATGTTTTCCTGGTCAAGGAGGTTAATTCCCCAGTCGGGCGCGGTGGCTCACACCTGTAATCCCAGCACTTTGGAAGGCCAAGGCAGGTGAATCATCTGAGGTCAGGAATTCAAGACCAGCCGACTGACATGGTGAAACCCCATCTCTACTAAAAATACAAAAATTAGCTGGGCATGGTCGTGCACACCTGTAATCCCAGCTACTCGGGAGGCTGAGGCAGGAGAATCGTTTGAACCCGGGAGGTGCAGGTCGCAGTGAGCCAAGATCATGCCATTGCACTCCAGCCTGAGCGACAGAGACAGACTCCATGTCAAAAAATAAAAATAAAAAAAGAACACTAATCCCCCTACACACACACACAATCACTGTCACTATTGGTTATTAGAGCAGCATGGCTATTTATGGAATAGTCAAGTACAAAACCCAATACACCCCATCCCCCTTGAGACAGTACAACTAAGTGAGCAGGTGCAGCCAGGAAGACCTGAAAGGCTGTCCAAAATGGTAAGAGTCCCAAGCAGGCCTGGAAAGACAGTCTCCTGGGGAGGGATCCTGCAGAGAGACTCCAGTACCAAGGATACATGAGAGGAAATACTGGGAGCTGGGCAGGCACACACTGCCTGGCTTCAGGGAACCCTATGACTTTCCTGCTTCCTTCTATAGCTCTGCTCCACTCCCTGCCCTGCAGGTTGGCTTTCTCTGCTCAATGATGGCCACACAGGGCTGCCAGCGCCAAGCCCTGAGGCCTTCGGACTTCGGACTTTTACCACCCACCACCTTCAGACTGCCTCAAATCTTCCATGACATAGTTCAACTTCTCAGGAAAATAATGTGATTGGTCTAGACTGAGTCACATGACTCCCCTCCATGCCCCCCCAATACCTCCCCTCTCTGGCTAACAGCTGAGACAAGGGACATGGTGTAACATCTGGGGAAGGGAGGGGAGATGACTTTGGAAGTGGGATATCTAATAAGGGTGAGTTGGTGTTTAACCTGTGGAAATGGGGAAGGGGTGTTCTTGACCTGAGCTGCTCACCCGGGGATGCCCATCAGAACCACCCAGAAGCCACACCTAACCAACTAGAGTCTTCTAGGATGGCACCTGGGTATGTGCATTTTGAGAAAGCACAAGGGATGATTCTGCTTACAAACTGCTCTTCCAGGAGAAATCGATGGCACAGTTTTATCAAATCTGACTTGATTATATTAGAAGAGGAACTCATTCACTGAACAAATATTTGCTGAGTGCCTACCAAGTACATGGCATTGTGTTAGGTGCCAGAGATAGGCAGTCTTTGTCCCTACAGAGCACACAGATTAGGGGCTAAGAGTGCAAGCATCATATCACCAAACTCCTTGAATACCAGGGGGAGCAGTTCATATGTGTTGAGGTCATAGAGCAAGGGTGGCTCATTGAATATTTTTGAGCTTAGAAGCTGTACTATCAGAGATATGATTTTTTAAAAAAAAGATAAATGGGGATGGTGCATCCAAGATGAATTTCAGGAGAGGAAGGGAGAAACTGTTAGATCGAAGGCCCGCAGAACAATTCAGAAATCACTGCAGTAATTCATACAAAACAGAATGAAGACTAGTTTTTTTTAAGATGTGTTTTAAAAATTGGGAAAAAATGCTAAAATCGTGGTTTCCTCTGAATGTTAGAGTATGGGGTACTTTTTTGTGTGCTTCTTTCATACTTATCTATATTTTTCAAATAAACACCCATTAT